GCAGGGCGCGACGGGGCTAGGCGGGCGCGACGGGGCCAGGCGGGCGCGACGGAGCCAGGCAGGGCGCGACGGGGCCAAGCGGCGGGCCAGGCAGGTGCGGCGGGGCCAGGCAGGCGCGACGGGGCCAGGCAGGCGCGACGGGCCGGGCAGGGCGCGACGGGCCGGGCAGGCGCGGCGGGGCCAGGCAGGCGCGGCAGGGCCAGGGAGGCGCGGCGGGGCCAGGCAGGCGGACGGGCCAGGCAGGCGTGACGGGGGCCAGGCAGGGCGCGACGGGGCTAGGCAGGGCGCGACGAGGCCAGGCGGGCGCGACGGGAGGCCAGGCAGGGCGCGACGGGGCCAAGCGGGCGCGACGGGGCCAGGCAGGGCGCGACGGGGCTAGGCAGGGCGCGACGGGGCCAGGCGGGCGCGACGGGGCCAGGCAGGGCGCGACGGGGCCGAGCGGGCGCGACGGGGCCAGGCAGGGCGCGACGGGGCTAGGCAGGGCGCGACGGGGCCAGGCGGGCGCGACGGGCCAGGCAGGGCGCGACGGGGCCGAGGGCGCGACGGGGTCAGGCAGGGCGCGACGGGGCCAGGCAGGGCGCGACGGGGCTAGGGTGGCGCGACGGGGCTAGGGTGGCGCGACGGGGCCCAGGAGGGGCGCGACGGGGCTAGGAGGCGCGACGGGGCCCAGGAGGGGCGCGACGGGGCTAGGGTGGCGCGACGCTAGGGTGGCGCGACGTGGCAGGAGGGGGGGGGGGGCGACGTGGCTAGGAGGCGCGACGGGGCTAGGAGGCGCGACGTGGCCTAGCTAGGGTATGGGCGGAAGCGGTAGGTGGGGGATGCTAACCTACGCGTGATACCATGTCAAAGTGAGAACGAATAATGACTAGAGGTGGAAACCTAGAACAAATACTAGTTGGTTGTACTCACTAGAAGCATACCTCAGTCTAGCCTATAACTTCTACATAGATAATAAGTATAAGTTGACATTACAGTACATGTTGCCTGACTTGTAAATAAACCTGCCAGCCATGACAGGTTGTAAATGTAAACGCATGAAGAGCATGATAGGGCAACGCTGCGAGTTGGCGATGCCCATTGCCTTGGTTTCTAGAAAGCTCCAACGAGAAAAGAAAGGCATTTTGGCATGGAAAACGAATACCCAAACAGAGACTAGAACAAACGAGCGAGCGCCAACGAACCAAGCACTGGAAAACAGGTCCCTCTGCGGTATGGAGATTCACCACTAAAGCTGCTGGGCTGATGCTACTCCTAGGATTGTTAGCTGCTGCTGACGGGATTCCCATGGGATACTAGTACTACCCAAGACACGGACGTCGTCGCGTGACGACGAAGGTGCGTGTTACCCTGTAACGCCGTAACGCTGTAACATGTGTCTTCTGCCCTATGAATCCGAATCGGAGCTCTTCTTTGTGAACCACTCCAGCTGAGGACAAGAGGGGGGACAGGGCAGGGTGGAAAAGGGAGAGGGGAGGGGGGGAACGGATGCATGGTGAGAGGCATGAAGGTTGGGTGATGAGGGAGGGGCGTGGTGATGGGGGAGGGGGTCGAGAGCAGGAAGGGAGAGGGTGTTGCAGTAGAGAGGTGGGGAGGATGCACCACAAAACGGGGAGTGGTGGGGAGTGGTGGAGAGTGGTGGGAAGAAAGAGGCCAGCAGTGGTAATTATGAAATGACGCATTTGGATGGTAGAGTGACCAGGGGTGAATCCTAGCTTCAAAACATAGAAGAGTGCAGAGACAATGACAACGCATACAGTACAAAACATGGCGCTCAAGATACCAGGGGACCAAAAGAGCCCCAACAGGTGGAGAGAGCCCGCTGGTGGTCACCTAACCGCACAGCTATGTGGCCGCTGTGGCCGCTGTGGCTGCCGTGGCTGCTGGACAGCTCGGCTGCTAGACTGCTGAGCTGCTGGGCTGCTATGGCTGCTGCGACCAGCGAGCACGGGCGTACCTTCCAGGCGTAGAAGAGCACAAAGACAATGATGCCCGTGGACCACACAGCAGCAAAGGACTACTTAAAATGGGTTGGGATGGTCAAGCAGCACTACAAGCTGCCAGCTAGCCAGCTAGCACGGCAACCACAACCCGCAAGCACAAACCCCCCTACCTTCCAGGCGTAGAAGAGTGCAAAGACAATGACATCCGCGGACCATACGGCAGCAAAGGACTTCCAGACGAGCGGCAGGGTGACGTTGACTAGAGGCACGACGAGGAAGAGGTAATTGAGAGCTGTCTTCTCGTTCTCACTGCAGTCGCGCCGCCCGCAGGGACGGGATGGCTGGGGGGGGGGGGGGGGGGGGAAGGGGGGTGAGATGGGGGGAGACAGAAGCAGAGGGGAGAGAGAAAGAGAGGGAGATGGAGGAGAGAGGGGGAGGAGGGTGGGGGTGGGGCGGGGAGAAACGACAGAGACATGAGCGAGTGAGGTGTTGGCGGGGGGAGGGAGGGAGAGAGGGGCAACGTTGACAAGGTGCACGACGAGGAAGAGGTAGACAGGGAGTGAGGGCTGTCTTCTCGCCGCCGTCTGCACGACCATGCAGTCGCGTGCTCGCAGGGACAGGGTGGCTGGGGGAAGAGGGAGAGGGGAGTGTGGCGATGGTAAGGGGACGCTGGGAAGAGAGGGAGGAGGCGGAGAGAGATATAGAAGAGAGACTAAAGATGGTCTCTCAACCAACCTGATGCGATGTAAAAGCCGAATTTACGCCTGTATGTATGAAGTTGTATAAGATCTCAGAAATCAGCCCTTATCATGATTCGCCACCACCAAACATCCATACAGACAGAATGCATTTCCAAGAGCCACTGGATGCCCATACAGTCACGCACCCACATAGAGACACACACCGATCTGATCGCACCCATGTAGAGTCACGCCCCGATCAATTAAAACCCACGTAGAGTCACACACTGATCAATTCACACACCCACATAGAGGTACACATTAATCATCTCACACCCACCGAGCATCCATATGGACCACATGCCATGAGCCGCCAGAGGTGCATGCAGCCACAGTCACGCCTTTAGGAAAGATTGACTGCCCTATGTCCACCCAGGGAATCCAGATCGGCCCCACGCAGAGCATCCAAATGGACCACCTGCCCATGAGCCGCCAGATGCCCATACCATACCATACAATATTATAACAGACCATACCGCACAGGTCCTTGAAACGCCATAAAGCCGCAGGCGCGGCCAGAAGCAAAAACGAGGAACTCCCCACCCCACCCCACGCTCTAAACATCACCACATGCCCATGAGCCGCCAGAGGCCCATAGCAAGCACGCACATCCATAAGCCACAGTCCCGCACGCCCATCGGAAAGAGTGACTGCACATGCCATGCCAGTGCCAACACTCAAGGAACATGCCATATGGACCACACCGCATCACATGCCCGCCCATGAGGCGCATTCACGCAGATAAGCACCTCACTCACATCACAGCCCAAATTCTCACTCACCCAGCTCCAATTCATCCTTCCCCGTGTCGTCCCCAACAGTGGCTCCCCACTCACTGGACGTCCACATGGACCACATGGCACATGCCCATGAGGCGCCAGAGGTCAGCAGCACTCTCACATCCATGCCTCCCCACATGCATGCGCGCAAATGAGCCACATTCACATCCTTAAAGCGGCACTCACTGAACATCCAGATGGACCACATGCCCATGAGCCGCCAGAGGTCGGGCTCGTCAGAGGGGAACACGAGGTTGTAGGAGAGCAGCCCGCCCAGCGCCATGCAGAGGTACGCCTGCACCTCGAAGATGGTGTACAGGGCGGAGCCCGGCACCGCTGGGTTCTTGGACTTGGTGGACGCGCGCGGGGCGAAGGTGGTCGCCGTCTTCTTCACCGCCTGGTGGTGTTTGGGAAGGGTAGAGGGTTGCGTTTGGAGCAAGAGGAGGGACGGGGGTGGAGAGCGGAGAAAGAAAAGGGGAGAGCTGAGGCGGGTACTGCTGGGCTCTTGAACTAAAAGGATGCACGTGGACGGGTGGGGGCGGGAGAGGGAAGGCGGTCGCTGTCTTGCTCACCACCTGGCGTTTTATTTTGGCGCGGCCGAGGGGGAGGGTGAAGAGAGGGAGAGAGGAGGGGAAAGAGAGGGAAGAGGATGGGAAAGAGAGGAGAGAGGAGGGGAAAGAGAGGGAGAGAGGATGGGGGAGAGAGGGAGAGGAAGGGGGGGCCCGGGGGGAGGGGGGGAGAGACGGGGGGTTCAATGGGTGTGAGGAGAGGGAGGGGCGGGGGGGTGTAGGTAACACCGCTTTGCGCTAAAGTGCAAATCCATTCTGCAAAGGCGCGTGAATCACGTGACTCTTTTCTTTAGGCACCGTCTAAGGAGACGAAGACGAAGACGCAGATTAGTCGTCGGATGAAAAGGACGCTGCGCCCCATTTGATAAGACGCACATGCAACGAGATAAGTCTTCTTTTCTAGCACAGCCGCGAAGCCGCACTCCGCAAAGCGGCCAGCGCGGGAAAACAAGGCAATGCGCCATCGTGTTAACGCGTCAACGCGTCACGGCTCGAACCTTGGAGATTTCTTTGCTGACGTCAACGTCGCTGATGCTGCCGTCACCCACTGCTGGGCTCGCGGCGCCCTCTGCTTGCTGTGTCTCCGGCTGCTGAGCCGCGGCGCGTACTATGGAGAACGAGCGCTTTGTAAATGCGCCTCGAGATCGCACGGGCAGGAGGAACAATCCACGCGAAGCGACGCGTGAAGCTGGAGCCACTGTTCTGGCGACACGTGGCACGGGTAGAGCCGCCTCAAAGACAGCCGCGGCGGGAGCAAGCAGCGCCATGGCTCTGGTAGCTTCAAGCCACGTATTCAGGCGCTGAGGTGACGCCACGTTGCAGATAAGCAGGAAAATCCGAACGTTCGACGTGGCAGCAGGAAATCACAAAGCTGAAGTGCAAGTGGGTCGAATGGATGAGGTGTTGAACGGGGACGCTGAGGAGCGAAGCCTGGTTCACGCTACTAGCAGGGCTGAAAAGCGACATTGATATATGCATGAACCAGATTCATTTAAATCCAGCCATAGTTAAATATATTCCAATATAGGCCAAATTTCATCACGTTCCAACCTTCGCTAAAACCGACAATTTCTATCCCTCAGCTGGCATTAGAGAGAATACGCATAGAAAGAATATGTTATCACGGGTCAAGTCTTCATTGGGGCTAGTCACTTGGGAGAATACACCATAATGGCTTAGTGAGATGTTTTTAGGTGACGTTGAGCCGCTGGCGGAAGTCCTCAGCCATCAAGGGCAGGCCTTCTCGCAGGGTCACCTGTAACATCCGAGCGGGAAAAAAAAAAATCAAAAAAAAAAAAAAAAAAAAAAAGCCCTTCAGAGCCATGATCAAAAGATTCACCATAGCAAGTAGTAAAAAAAAAAAAAAAAACTGCAAACCAGGAAAACGCACTCTGGGCTCCCATCCAAGGATCTCCTTGGCCTTGGTGATGTCTGGCTTGCGCTGGCGCGGATCGTCAGGGGTGTTCTCCACAATCTTCCACGAGGCAGATGGCTCAATCAGCTGCACACACAAAAAGATGAAAAAGATTTTGAAAAACAGGGGCATGGAAGGGGTATGAAACAACAGCCAAATCTACACAAGCTCCATGTGTCAAGGCATGAGCAAGAGAGAGTTGAACTGGAGGGGGTTCCAACCAGTTAGAAGGTCCATCGCATGCATGTCATCATAAGCACACACATTAAGACTTCCATGCTGGCATTGTACACCTTGCAATGAACGTGCACACATAAACTGATAAGTAGAAATGGCGTGAAATGGCAGGTGTGACTAGACAAGACTGGCGCTACAACCAGCCCGGAAGTAAGATGCAACCGACGCCCATGCCATGCAATGGCCCTCAGCCCTTCCCCCTTTTTTCCACCCACAACCCCCCTCCCCTCAAAGCACCAAGTCGGGGATTGAAGTGTTTGCTGCATAGAAAAGCAACGCACCTCTTTGACTGCAGCTGCCAGCTCTAGCATGGTGAACTCACCTGATCAGGATAAGGATGGGGTGAAATCAGCAGAGTAACAAGTATGAGGAGAGAGCAGGAACGCAATAGGCTTAAAGGTGCACCAGAAGAAGCAAGAGTGATTGCAAAATAGTGTGTGCAATTGAACAAAAAGATCAAACAGGTAATCTAGTGCAGCACACGTTTCACAAGGTTTTCCTTGCCATGGCATCTGTCGCATCACAACCCTCCCTGCTCTTGTTCCTGTACCCTCTTCTTGCCCTACTACTCAGGGGCCTTACACAATAAAAAGCACACAACTTCCCCACCAAACCAAACCCAGATCCCATCATCCCAAGAGCCAAGGTTCAAATTTTCGATTGTGGATACTTGCGGTTGGAAACTTCCGACAGAAAGTTTCGGCCAGATTTTGAATATTTCGGTCAAATTTCATTAGAACTCCTTTTTTTCGTAATCCTGCCAAATATTCCACATGTACTACACACAACCATCGTTTGCAGTCTAGAGAGCTGGGGAGTACAAAAACACTTTGAAATGTCACTAATCCTAGGAGGCTTCTGAGCCACTATCGCCATCGCAAATCTCCCAAGGGAAGATCACCTTGGACCCGTTAACAGCATCCCTAGTTTGCGCTATCATCGCCACTCTCAGCTTCTTCTCCTTCCCTTTTTTGGGCGCACTACCGCTTCCCCTTCATACCCTTCCCCGCCCTCCCTTCGCACAACATCTCTTCCGAAACTTGCAGCCGAATTTTTGCACCGAAAGCGGGAAACCCAATTTTGATGATTTCGACGTAAAGTATCGACAGAAAGTTTCGAAAACGAAACTTCTGTAAAAAAAAACAAAATTTCGGCGAAATTTTGAACCTTGCCGAGAGCAACACCCCGTCCCCAATGTCATGCACCTGCACGTCAGCCCACGCACCAGGGTTCCCCAGGTTGATGGGGCCGGTCACAGGGCCCTCCATGAGCTTGATCAGACCGTCCACCTGTCCAAGGAGAGGGGGGCAGCGCGCAGGGAGGCAGCACGCAGGAAAGGAGCAGGCAGGGATGCAGCAGGCACATGTGTGTGGGTGTGTGTGGTGTGATGGAGGAGCGAACGGGATGGAGAGTTGTGACAAGTGGTGGTGACGAAGGCTCAGAGGTGGCCCAGCAAGGCAAGGTGGAGGCGAGATGTAAGAGGCAACGATGCATTGAAATTGAATTAGGATGGTGGTCAATGCATGCCATTAGCATGGCATGGGCATGGCATTAGCATGGCGTTCGCCAGACATTAGCATGGTACGGTCATGGTGTTGGATCACAATGGCAAGATGTTGCATGTGAACCACATACCATGTCAGCGACGTAGCAGAAGCTACGGGTCTGGGAGCCTGGAGCCTGCACTGTGAGTTCCTCTCCCCTGCATGGGACAGCGAGCAAGAGTCAAGGGTGCATGGACACAAAAGAGCAGAGAACAGGGGTGGACACAAGACAGCAGCGCATGAGTGAACAACGACAAGGGGGGCATGGCATGGCAGAACGACGAGCAAGACGAGCCAACCAATCGCAAGGGAGAGGACCAAAAAAGGGTGGGACTAAAATCGGGTTGTGGAACTGGGTGGCGGGTAGAGCCCCCATCGCCATCACCATCAACAACTCGGGGAAGGGCTATCACCGTCGGTAACAAGCCAAGCTCTTGACATTCACCTGAAGGCCTGGGCGATGAAGTTGCTGACCACGCGGCCATCGTCAATGTTCATGCGAGGGCCGTAGGTGTTGAAGATGCGCGCCACTCGGATCTCTGCAGTGGTGCGAGGGGATGGGATGGGATGGGATGGGAACAAGGGGAGAGCAATGAGAGCGATGAGGGCGCTGAGAGCGATCAGAGCGAGAGGGAGCGGTGTGAGCGTCGGGGTGAGATGGGGATGGGGCGGGCGGCGGGTGGGGAGGTGGGGAGAGTGTAGATTTCAACGCAATCATAACCTTTGTATGCCATTCATATCACTTGGCCACGGTTCACCATCGACGTCTTTCCACCACTCCTTCCCTTTCCTTCCCTTTCCTTCCCTTTCCTTCCCCTCCCATCCATCCCCTTCGCATCCCCCACCCTCCCTTCAGCACCCCATCCCCACATCCCCCACGCCACCCTCTCCCCTCCCCCAACCCCTCTCCCAAACCAAATGCTCCCCTTCTCCCAAGATCGGTCCATGCCACTCACCGACGCCGTGTTGCCGGTGGTAGTCAAACATGAGCGTCTCCGCCACTCGCTTGCCCTCGTCGTAGCAGCTCCGCACGCCTAGGGAGGGGAGAGAGAGCGAGAGAGAGGGTGAGAGGGAGAGAGGGGGGGAGAGAGGAGAGGAGGAGGCGCGAAGATCAGGGGAGATGGGAAGGTGGAGGGTTAGAGGGAGAAGAAGATTTTGAGGAGAAACGCAGTGAATTTTGAATGGGAAATCGGGCTGAATCAAGATGTGCATGCTACTGCGTTGATGCACAAATGGCTGGCATAACAATGGGTGACGCAACATGGGACGCGTACAGTGGGGCAACGCTGGCCATGCCTCGACTGGGAGAAATGGCTCTACACATAGATTTCTCATTGATGCGAGATTGCTCATCAACCACCCACCGATGGGGTTGACGTTGCCCCAGTAGGTCTCCTTCTGCGGGTGCTCCAGGGGATCGCCGTATACCTCTGACGTTGACGTCAGGAGAATCCTGTGAGCAGGGATAACGACGACGAAGAGGCCAACGAGGTAGCATGAGTGGAGGCAACGAGGAGATAGTGTGCAAAATCTGCAACAGGAATGATATAAAATCTGAAGTTAGGTAAAATAGCAACAGAAGGGTCCGAGAGAAGTCCGGATGACGTAAGGTCTGAGTTTGGATCGAGAAAGTTGAGCGGAAAAGACGGGAAGGAGAAGCAGCTGAGCGGTCCTCCTTACCTTGCTCCCACTCGCTTCGCCAGTCCGAGCATGTTCAGTGTACCCATCACGTTGGTCTTAATGGTCTGCACAGGGCGAACGGCGAGACATCAGCGCAGAGAAGTCAATGCAACCGGGGCAAATAAAACGTGACAGCAGCAGGCCCGAAATAGCTCGGGAGACTTAAAATTGAAGAAAACCACACGAAATTTGCGCTTGCCGTGAGGCTCGCAGCCATGCAGCGGATCTGAGGGTGCATCCGTACAGACCAAACAGATGGCCGTCAGGTCTACTACGAACGTGTCGGCAGCTGAATCCAGTCCACAAAACCCTCCCCCTTTATTGTACTTACCTTCACCGGATTATACTTGTAGAAGATCGGCGAAGCGGGACACGCCAGATGGTAGATCTGATCCACCTCCACCAGAAGGGTCTCCGTGACATCTGCAAACACGCCAAAACCACGTCATATGCAGTTCAGAAATCGTCGTTTCAAGTAACTTGACAGGAACATTTTGGGCTGTTTTAAACTTTAGTTGCGAGGGACACATGAGCCTGATCTGGCAATCCGGCGTGGCGTTTGGCTACCAATTCGTCGGCCATAAGACGGCACGTACATGTGGAGCGACGAGGACAGAAAAGCCAACGATGTGGAGGGGAGCGGATCGCATTCGTACCATGGCGAATAATTTCAAAGTTTGGGTGGCCGATCCACTGCCGGATGTTGTCCTTAGTCCCGGTGAAGAAGTTGTCGGCCACGATAACCTGAGACGGAGACCGAGACAACGTGAAACAAGTTAAGTGGGTTCGCGGAATATTAACTAGCGCAGGAGAAGGGAAACAGAATCGAAATAAACGGATGTGACGAAATAAACAGAGGGAAAGCCTGACAAACGAACCTCATGGCCTGCTTGCATAAGCCTGTCGACAAGGTGCGATCCAATGAATCCCGCACCTCCGGTTACCAGCACTCTCAGGCGAGGCTGCATCAGGGAGAGATGCAGGAAACAGAGAGAAATCAGCTAAAGAAAATGGTGAAATCAAGCGTAGCCCCAGCACATTTCATTGTTGCCTGAAACGTGCACAATGTGCTGGAAGGGAGGAAATATTATCATAGGAATGGCGATCGGGTTTCACCGATCATTCGGTTCAACCGTTCATCCAGGACGATGGAAGCACGGAAATGCGTGAGCTTGAGTTCAGCAGCAGGAAAAACGACAACTCGGGAAAAGAAACCATCACAAGAACGTACGCTAGAATATTTAGACTGCCTGATCGGCGATGGGGGAGGAGGAATTCTCCTGTTCTCGCCTCCATTCTCTCCCGCCTTGTCAGCAGCACCGTTGTCGCTCATCTTGAGAGCTTATCACAAGGAGCTATGAGCACCAAGACAAGCCACAATCACCAGCCAGAGACCAAGTAGCTGGTGGAAAAGCTAAGCAGATAACAAGTGTTGTCGATATTCTCCAACACTGACTGACTTTGAAGACGGTCAAAATGTTCCTCAGACACACAAATGCACCTAACAACCGTCACAACAGATGGGCCTGGGCCAAATGTTCGATCCCCTGGGAAGATGGAGGCTTGTTCCTGTACAGTACCAGGTGAGGTGAGGAGGACACAAACCAAGGGTGCTCGTTACTGGCGGAAACTTGATGGGCGGGCCAGATGCGACCAGATTCATGCGACGAACCGAACGACGCCCACCTTTTTCGCTCGGAACGTCTGGTGATGTTTGATTTGACGGCGAGAAGTGCTCTACTGTCAAAGTTTCACGCGGGAAAATCGACGCTTGCGACTCGAAGGATGTCAGCCAGTGGGAGTGATGGGTCCGTCGACGGCTTTCGTGGGCAACAGTTGGATTGGATGGTACGTGTAGGAAGGACATGTCAGGTCTGGATTTTTCTCTTCTGCCCGTCGTTAGTTTTGGTCCTTTGATATTCCCTCCCTCTTACACAGCGCAGGCGTTCCAGCTTCTGGACGTCCATTTCGGAAGTAGATGCCTTAGTTTGTGATCACAAGCCGTTACCTACAAAGGACGGTGGTCGTGAATTCGTCACGCATTGACCTTGTCAGCTCCACCCCAACGCAACATAATGGATTCATTACTGTACTCCATCTTTGGCTTTCTTTCTAGTACATATACCCATTTCAACTATCACTTTCATTGCCACACTTTCACTAATAAAATGGCCTTTGTCGAGAACCATAAATTTCTTATAAATCTACCCCAATACGTACGTAACATCCAATATTATTCTTTTTTTTGTCAACAAAATGAGGCCAGCTTAATCGGCATAGCGTTGTAGGATTGGCAGCAAGGCCTATTTTCGATTTTTTGTCAAACATATCGTTGTATGTTGTTATAGACTACACAGGGTTGTGCCTTAGAGAGTACAACCCACTATGTTATATTCCCTTGTATGCCATGGTTCTAGTCATTCGTTAACTTTGATATGGTATTATGACTAGGTTAGGTCCCCCCCGCATACCAGCGCTTCCGCCATAGGTCCTAGCCGCCCCGTTGCCCTCCCGCCCGTGCAAGCCCGTCCCCTAGTGCCCCCCGTCACCTAACGCCTAGCTGGCCCCGTTGCCTAGTCGGGCCCGTCGCCCAGCCGGCCCCGTCGCCTAGCCGGCCCCGTCGCCTAGCCGGCCCCGTCGCCTAATCGACCCCGTCGCCCAGCCGGCCCTGTCGCCTAGCCGGTCCCGTCGCCTAGTCGCCCCCCTCGCCTAGGCGGCCTTGTCGCCTAGTCGGTCCCGTCGCCTAGCCGGCCCTGTCGCCTATCCGGCCCCGTCGCCTATCCGGCCTTGTCGCCTAGCCGGCCCTGTCGCCCAGCCGGCCCCGTTGCCTAGTCGGCCCTGTCGCCCAGCCGGCCCCGTCGCCTAGCCGGCCCCATCGCCTAGCCGGCCCAGTCGCCTAGCCGGCCTTGTCGCCTAGTCGGCCCCGTCGCCCAGCCAGCCCTGTCGCCTAGCCGGTCCCGTCGCCCAGCCGGCCCCATCGCCTAGCCGCCCCCCCCCCCTCGCTTAGTCGGCCCCGTCACTCCACCGGCCCCATAGCCTAGCCGGCACCGTCGCCTAGTCGACCCCGTCACCAAGCCGCCACACGGCCCCGTCTTCCAGCCGCCACGCGGCCCTGTCTCCTGACCGCCCCAAGGCCCGGTCACCTGCCCGCCACGCGGCCCCTGTTGACCAGCCGCCCCGCGGCCTCGCCGCCCAGCCTCCTCACGACCCCGTCCCTCAGCTGCCCATGCGGCTTCCACCTCACTTCATCTGCCCTTTCCACCGCACTGCACCGCACTCCACCGCCCTGCACCGCCCTACACCGCACCCTACCGTACTGCACCTCACTCTATTGCATTCTACCGTACTGCACTGCACCGCACACCACTGCTTCCTGCCGCACTCTGTCGTTCAGTACTGCCCACTACCGCCTTTCTGCTGCTGCAGCGATCAAGATAGCACACTCGGTACTGCGCTTTGACGCGGAGGGTCAACCGGTTGAGTTTGATGCATGGCTTGTCGACCTCCGCCGTCACCTCATTGGTCAGCGGCAGGACGGCCAGTCCCTGGCCGTCCACATCGACGGTACGCTCCCCTACCCTGACATCCCTGCTGCTCTACCTGCTGACCCCACGTCTGCTGAACGTGAGTCCGCTGCCACTGCAGCCCTTGCCCGTGCTGTCTGGTTGTTGCGTGACGCTGTCGCATTGCTCGCGATTAGTCATGCCCTCCCCCTGTCTGAGCCTCCCCGCTTTAGGTCGGTCAGAACTGTTGTCGCGCGCTATACCACCCCGCCCTTGCCTCCGTCGGTCGCCTGATCCTGCCCATGCTCTAACCTAATCTTGTGTCTTTCTCCACTATTGCTGACCTGGCTGCCCACTTGCGAAGTCAAGACGCGACCTGGCGCGCTGCCTGCACTGAGGCCCAGCTTCGTGTATTTCAGCCCCCCATCTGCTCTACCCTCTACCTGCTTGCCACCCGCCTCCCCGACCGCCTTGCTAACGCCCGCGATCACTTTCTTAGTCTCCACCCAGCTGACCTCACCCTCACTGACTTTGTCGACACCCTGTCTGCCATAGAGACTCGTCAGCGCTCTATCGCCCAGTCTAGCGGTACTGTGCCGGTCACTATCTTTCAGTGCTGTGCCCCCGCTCAGTGCACTTACTCTGACGGTTCTGTTGCTGTGGCTGAGACAGCCCCTGCTGCAGAGAAAGTCGCCGGGGCTGCCGCAGCACAGTTTCGTCCGGATAAGGGTCGCCGCCCCAAGGCTGGGCACGGCAGAGGTAGCGGAGGCGGGGGTCGAGGCGGTGGTGGAGGTGGTTCACCCGCTGGTAGTACTAACAAGGGGGCTGGGGCTGGTGCCTCGAAGCAGCAGCCCTAGCAGCAGGCACCGCAGCAGGACCAGACGCAGCAGCAGTAGCAGCGGCGGGTCGGTCGTCTCCCACCCGGGTGGCCTGGTGCCGGTGGTGGAGGTGGTTGCAGTGGTCGTGCATGCAACGTAACGTCAAGTGGTGGTCCGAGTGACAGGCGTTGCCAGTACCAACTCCAGACCGGTCCTCGCCGCGACCTCGTGTGCGGTAAGATCGGCCATACCCCCACTCGTTGTTTCAGTCGCCTAGATGACCTGTTTCATCTCCGCTTCGGCCCGGCGCCAGACCTCCCTGAATGGCACAGTCTGCTCCGCCATGGTGTTAGGATATTTGAAATGGACATGGACGAGATAAGCTCTGCTTTGTATGTGCTGTATGTCGATGACTCTAGTGTGACTGGTTCTTATTTCCCCTTGTTGCCTAGTGTAGGTGTGCCTAGTTCAGACTCCCCTGCTGTGTCAGGCGTAAGATCCCCTGCTTTGTTTAGCCTTGGCTCCACCCTCGCTCCTCCGGCCCCTGCTGCCATTGCCGCCCTCTCCTTCACCCTGGACTCCGGCGCTTCCTGGTGTTTCTTTCAGGACTCCACTACGCTTACGCCGCTTGTCGCTCCCGCCGCAGTTGCCCCTCTCAGACCCTTCCTCAGGTCCCGTAGTCGCCCGTAGCTCCACCACCCTTCCCTGTCCGGCGGTTCCTTCGAGCTCCCTTACAGGCCTGCACATCCCCTATGTTATCTGGTCACGAGCGGTACGCTGTTTGTACCGAGGCCGCCACTGGTGTTCCCCTTACCACGTTCCCCTAGGACCCGGTGTCTAGCCTAATCACACTGGATACCGCGTCCCCCCCGGTTGGGACGCCTCCCGAGGTGTCTGCGTTTACCCAGGTTGCTGCGGCTTGCTCGTGTCGGTCGCTTACTCACCCGACGCTTCTGTGGCACCACTGTCTAGGTCACCCTGCCCTCAGACGTCCTCGTCACATGTCTCAGCACGGTCTTGTCTTAGGTCTTTCCCCGCACTACCCTCCTCCCCGGCGTCGAGGGCCGCCTCCGCCGTGCCCCTCACTCCTCCTCGTTCCCCCCCACAGCCGCACCCGTGCAGACACTGCACATGGACGTCTGGGGCCCCGCCCCTGTCCATCGACGACTACACGTGCTACACCACCGTGTTTCCCCTGGAGTGGAAGGCCGACGTGCCTGAAGTTCGTATCCCGTGGCTTGTCTCTGCAAGCGTTCACCGAGGTCTCCCTGTCTTGCGTCTTCACTCCGACCGTGGTGGTGAGTTCGCCTCTGGCTGCCTTGGTCGCTTCTGTCGTACGGAGGGCATCACCTAGACGTTCACCCTGCCGGACTCCCCGCAGCAGAATTGGGTCGCTGAGCCACGCATCGGTTTGGTCATGGAGGTGGCTCGTACCTCCATGATCCATGTTGGTGCACCCCATTTTCTGTGGCCGTTCGCTGTTCGCTACGCCGCTCACCAGCTTAACCTGTGGCAGCACCCTCAGCAGCCGCAGGTTTCGCCGACCCTCCTCTGGACCGGGTCCCCTGGTGACGCGTCTGCGTTCTACGTCTAGGGCTGCCTTGCTCACGTTCTTGCCTCTGGCACGGACAAGCTCCCTGCCCGCACCGTCCCCTGTCTCTTCCTCGGTTTCCCCCTCGACTCTTCTTACTAGCACTTTTACCACCCACCGTCACACTGCTTCTTTCACTCCCGTCTCCTTTTACCACCGCTTTTTCCACCGTGGTCCCCCGGTTACCCCCCCCCCCCTATTCCTTGTCGCCCCTCCCCCGGTTGCCCCGGCTCCCCCCCCTCCCTTCCATGCCCCGTCTGGTGTGTCTCACGTCACCCCTCTCCCGTCGGGTGTCCCTGCCGAGGAGTTTGCTGACTCTCGCGGCTCTGCGGAGTCCCTTCCCCCGCCCCTCCCCCGCCCCTCCCCGCCCCGGTCTCTTCTCCCCCGTTGCTGCTATTGCTGTCACCGCCGCAACCGCCGCAACCGCCTTTGCCGCTGCCGTCGCCGCCGCGGCCGCACCTGTCGTCGTCACCGTAGCTGGGGTTCGTGCATTTTGGGGGTGCTGGGGAGCGTGCTAGAGCGGGTACTGCAGTGGGTTCCCATTCTGGGGGTGCTGGCGTGTAGCTTCTCGGAGGCAGACGTGCTGTTCTGGAGGTTCTGGTGT